ACAAACCATCAAATCTCAACTGAAGAAACGCAAACGCATTGTGCGATTCAGTTGTGCGGAACCATAGCATACAATGGGCGACATGTGTCTCATCCCTACAAGTGGTCAACGCTTTCGGAAGTGATATCTGTTCCCAATTCTTGTCCTCACTCTCATCCACAACACGTTTCGGATCCATAATTGCCAACAACTTTCTTAGCATTCAGTCTTTCACACAAATATAATAATGATTGCAATTCACAGTTAATATACTTTATATCAATGTAATATTGATTATTGATTCAAATGGCAGTAATAATAAGTCATTCTGTGTTCAAAGCATTGACAATACAATCCATTTATTTTAATATCTCATAAATATTCATATATTGATCACATAATACACATAACTATAAGAATTCTGTAATAAGAAATCACTACTGTATAGTAAAGTAAAAGTTTTTATTTCCTAGATTACTAGTGTATATTATATGAGACAATAATGTAGTAGTAGAATCTGTGTTGACTAATTATTTGATTTTACTCAACAGCAAATGCATTTCTTTACAGAAATTTAATGAGAAAATTATGACTAAAATTACTTATCATAGATAATTATCACACATCATATGACTACTTATTATATTCAAATATTATAACAGTAATATTGATTTATAGTATTATGGTAATACTGTATACATTTTATACTATAAAACTCAACAATAATTAATAGGCTCTAAAGAGGAAAATATTTAATAAATTAATAGTTTTAACAAAAAATATAAGCAAAAAATACCAGAAATTGTCATTAATTGGTTTGTCCTCCGATCCATTGCTATACATGTTATGAAAACAACGATTGATTCAAAATATAGATATTTTCACACAATTTTGTAAACAATTCTAAGCTATATATCACAGCAAGTCTATGACCCCGATACTATTGACTCGTTTTTATTGACAGTGCTGTCGAAAAGGTGGTGCTCTAATGCACCAGTAGTTTGGTAGTCATAAAGTGTGTTCATATGCTTAAGAAAAGTTTAGTATAAGAATCACTGAATTAAAGACTTATTGGTCTCTGAGATCGGGTTTAAACTGTATTAACACATAAACCCATTGCATTTCATTCATAAACAATGTTTTCAATCACAATATTTGCAAATAAATAAGTTTTACGAGAGATTCAACAAGTTATAGATTTTATTATAAATATAAATCAAATCTAAATTAATTTATACTTAATTTTCGGTCAGTTTTCGATAGAAAAAGAGATCACAGAATATGAGGAATTATAGCTTTTCGGTGTTTCGGGTATTTATCTTTGAATGTCTTTAAATACCACTCATGAGTGAGAAGTGCTGCCATAATCTGATTGACTATAACCCAGAACACAAGAACAGCCCATAAAGTGTTCAATAGACTGATCATCCAAATGGACAAATAGATGATAATCTCAGCCAAATAGTGCGGACACGAGCTGTACTCAAAGGGCGCCCCCTTTGGTATGTAGTGATTGTAATCAATGATTGTTTGGCCATCTCTTGTCCGCTTGACTCGCAGTTCAGACAAAATAAGATGTGATTTGTATTGCATGTAAGAGGCCATCAAAAACACCACAAACAGTATACATAGTATTGCAGAGGTGTAGTGACTGTCATCAACAGTACCATCAGTGGTGGCCATAGAGTCGATGAGAGCTAACCCACAGCTCCCATAAAATGCAAAACCCATTGTATAGTGAATTGCATTGATTTTCGTGTCCGAAAAGATACTAATCTTCAGGTTTTCATACAATCGACGACTGAATTGTATAACCAATGCCACCATTAGGAGGACACTCTTAGTGGACATCATTTGCTCGGAACTGATGCTAACTTCACGACCAATCAATACAACCATAACTTTATTCATATATCCACTGCACGTGTTGATGGCGTCAGTTGTGAAACAATTTGTGGCAAACATTAGACCAATTAATAAGATGTGATAAATGAGTGCAAAGACATAGAAATGAGTGAAATATCTTTTAGGGATTTCCACGAGTTTTCCCACAAATACATGCAAACTAACTGTCCGTTTGGTGTGTTTGTCTGAGGGCTCAACCAGTTTCCCGAAACGGACTAAATTGAGGACTCGTTTCGGTAGATATTCACTGAAATGAAGTGATATTAGACTCCCACAAATACATGCAAACTAACTGTCCGTTTGGTGTGTTTGTCTGAGGGCTCAACCAGTTTCCCGAAACGGACTAAATTGAGGACTCGTTTCGGTAGATATTCACTGAAATGAAGTGATATTAGACTCACGAGTAATACACCGGTTGTCACCAAAAGCCAGAATAAGACAAACACTGAACAGACAATCATTTTGTGATAGGTTTGTGTGAATCACTTGATTACTTGCTTTTATCACTAATTAGTTTCACTATATTTATAATTATAATTAGTTTTCAAACTTTAATTTAAATGATCAAGTTTAAAAAGCACTTTAAACTATGCTTGGCATATTTAAATAGCCGTCAATATAATTGAACACAATATTGACAAACATTCACAAACACTGTACGGACGGAATGGACCCCAAATTGCTATGACATACAGAAATGTGCGACAAATTGCATGCTTGTCATTGAATCCCTTTGACTGCGAATACGATGGTTGCGGACAAGACGTGAGTGAATGCCATCTATTGCTGAACAGTCATACGTTCGTGAAAACATTGTGTCTCTCAAAGGTTGTACAGACGGGCAGTGATTGAGTGGACGGGCAGTGATGTCCCGCAACGTGTGTTGTGTGAAGTCGTGCACAAACACCAAACACGAGAAGCCGACCCTTTCTTTCCACAATTTCCCCACAAGAGAGCCCATAAGGTATCCTAATATAGGTGTTGTAGTCACTCATCAAACTTGACATTTGTCTCACATTTTGTCTTATTTTATGCCAATTATAACGTATGACACGAGAGGGGTATTTGTCGCCCCCTCACATCATTTACAGCCTTATTGTGTGCTTTTTTCTAGAGTATAGTCACGACTGTTATTATACTTTATGAATGACCTATCATTTAATGTCATTAATTTGGGACACTTGCAAACAATTGGCTATTCTAATTAGAATTGACCCTGGAAATGTGCATGCTTACTTTCATTACAAACACCACTTTCCACGTTTGCTTTTGCAAACTTTTAGTATATTTATAATAATCATATTTTCATATAACGTAAAAAAGTATAACACAAATTGTCTAGTATGAAGTTTTAGATAGATTTAGATTATAGTAATATATGATATCATAGCGTACATTGAATTACAAACTTTTGTGAATTAGTTTGATTCTTGACATTAAAATAAGTAGTATTTGAATGATTGATACATTCATATTTGATTAATGAGTTAAAATTAACGCAAATGGTTAAGAAAGTAAACATTTTGATTGTGAAATGAACTGACTATAAAACTTTAGGAAAACTTTAGGAAAACTTTAGGAAATGTTTGCTAACAATGGTTTGGTTTGTAATACAGGTGTAAGAAATGGGTTGAGTTTTGTGAGAACGAGACGCTCAGCAAACTGTTTGACACAAATGACCCAAAACTGGAGCACAAATCCATTTGTTCCCAACATTTCGAAGACAACAAATACAATAACCCCATGAAAAAGATCCGGCTTATGTGTAATGCATTGCCTACCATTAAATGCTGTCACTTGAAAGATATTCATACAATAGTAGTCAATACAACCAATGAAACGCAAAGTAATTAATAATAAATGGTTATAATTTACACGTTAAATAAGATCTAATGATAAGTTGACTGTATTTGTAGGCCAACCACCGGTTCAGGTGATATCAGCGCAACTCCTTCTGCGGACTAATTTGTCGAGGAGTTGGCGATCGAGTGCTCAGTATTTGACCGAAAATGAGACACAAGATCAGTGCTCTGCACAGGAATCCAAACTCAAGTCTAAATCAAATCCTATTATAAAACACTATTCGGAGAGACATTTGCGATATGAAAGTGAAATCAAGAATCTTAGGGATAAACTTAAGAAAAGCAAAAAACAAGTTATGAATTTGCGCTATCGGTTAGTCACTTATTGTAGTTGTTATCAATTGAGGTGTGAATGATTAACATTTATCTGTAATTTGTTTGATTAAAGTCTTAAGAGAACGGAAGCGATCGGAAACACAAAGAAATCGAAACTAAATTATATTATAAAAAGTATTAAAGGTTTGGGCGAAGAGGCGTTGAATCCCGTGATGTCTGAGATAATTGAGTATCACTTGACGGCCGCTTTTCTTAACAAGACTCGAGTCCAGAAGTGGTCCAACAAAATGAAGAAATTTTGTGCTGATCTCTACCACAAGAGTCCGTCTGCTTATTGTTTGCTTCAAAAAACACTGACTCTTCCGACAAAGAAGACTATCCTTAAGTTTACTGAAGAACGCATCCAAAACACCAAAAACGATAATTTTAAACAAATGGTAAACGATTTAAATACAGATAATATGGACAGTAATGTGAGTGAATTGATTAAGAAATTCACGGAACAACAGGTAATACATTTGGAGCCAATAGACGATATATTATCCAACAATGAGTTAAATAATATTAGCATTGAATACAATAGTACTGAAAGAGATAATGAATGCATAGCCGCAGATAATGTCATAACTATGAATTCAATTGGTGTGAATACAAGGAAAACTACAGAAATAACTTTAGTTGAAAATTTCTCGTCAGATATGAAAACTTATGGTAAAGATTAGAGTCTCTAGATTCTAGAGAATTAAATGATTGATTTATATTTTTAATATAATTCAGCTTATTTTTCATTTTGTACACCTTAAATTTTTTCTATTTTAAGTTTTTTTTGATTACCTATAAAATTACAAATGAATTTTTTTCTTTATATAATTTATTCTATATTCAAATTATTTTTAAAAATTAATATCGAAAATATTCTGTTAAATTCTTTACCAAAAAATTATCAGATTAAATATAAGTCAATGTATTGCTTTAAGCATTATATTTGATTTTATTTATTGTACGGTATATGGGAGTCAATTGGTTAACATATTATGATTGCAGTGTAGTTTTATTAACAGTCAACACTTGGATTACTTTTTTCTGTTCAATCAATTCTTCCTCAAGTTTTGTAATTCTGTTGTTTAATAACTGATTGTTTTTCTCTAATGTTTCAATTCTTGTCTCCAAATCATTTGTCTCCGGTTTGGATGTCTCACTCGACTCTTCCATGTATTGATTCACTACACAGACAAGTGTTTTATTAATTTACTGGTGTTTTGTTCATTTTAATTATATACAAACCATCGATAGTCCAACCAATTGTCTCGTTTTGAATTTCATTTTCAATATATTTCACGAGAGGATCAAAATATTCAACCAAAGGTTTAGCACTCATATGTCGACTTCCGGTCAGGATCTCCATGACGTCAGGCCAAGGTCTGGATGATCCCAGTTTGAGAGCTTCAGCCAATTTATTGCCGGCTTCTTTGTTACCATCGATGTCACACTTATAGAGGGGAACGCCTGGCTGTGCCTTCGCACACAATGCCTTATGAAACTGGAATTGGATTATGAAAGACACGAAATATCTGTTGCAATGTATTAATGATACATTAATAACACAATAGTTGCTAGACAATAAATGCAGACCTAATATATTCAACTCCAGCCGATATGTGGTATTTAGCGCCGGCATCGAAATCTTTTTCAGATCTTTTAATTGGTGGTGAAATTCCTTGATATTTGATTTTCAATTCCCACCACTTCTTATTCAATTCATCAGAACTGGTCTTTCCTGAGAAAACATCCCAACGCCAAAGATCCATGAGATAACCAAATGGCAAAAATGCAATCTTTTCTAATGCTTTTGACATCTGATAGTTAAGAGTGGTTTCGTGATCATCTACCAGAGGACTGAAAAGACCCACTTTGTTGAGATGTCCCGGCGTTGACACCGACAGCGCTAATAGATCGCCCACCGCTTCGTGAAAACCTTATTTCAATTGATATTAATTTTAATGTCAATTTCTTTATGAAATACCCGGATAATATAAGATTATCTATAAGAATACCCGGATTAGCCCCCTCTCTGAAGACCACTGGTTGGTCCTTATACTGGAGGTAGTATTCAATGTGTCCCATCTCGTGGTGGATAGTAATGAGCTCTTCCATCGTGATATCGGTGCACATCTTTATTCTGATAATATTTATAGTATTATTGGTTTATTGTTCAAAGATTCAATTATCTATTCACTGATCACCTGAAGTCTTGTTGATCATAAAAGTCCCAGGCGGACGCGTGACAAACAACTTTCCTGTTGTCTGGTTTCACAAACATAGATGTGTTCCAGAATTTTTCAGGCATTCCTATCAGTCCTAAATCGCGATAGAATTTGTCCGATAATTCAAACATTTGCATAGCTGTCCAATTCTGTCATATTAATTATACAAAATTTAGTTACACTTAATATTTAATATTAGTTATATTAATATTACATCCGATTTCAAAGTATCAGTTATATCAACTGATTTCTTGTTAGGATATGGGACCACGAGATCCAGAATATTTCCTATTAAAAAACCATGTGAGTTACTTATAAATGAAAAACAATTTAAATTCTAAAATGTACCCCAGGATTGTGCCCACATATTGCCCAATATATGTGCGGGAATAGTGCCATCGGTTGGCATATGATCCCCATAATGTTTTCTGAGTTTCATTCTTATAAAAGTGTGCAGTTTTTTGTAGAGCCCTTCCATCTCTTGCCACAAGTTCTCCATCTGTTCCTTGAAGTCAGGCGTTTCCCACGGAAAGAGCCACAAGTCGTCCAGTGTTTTGAAACCATTTTTCACGGCAGCCTTATTACCCAAACGCACGTATTCTTTGTATAATTCTCGGACTGGTTTGCCCGCACTGGCCCTCCAGTTAATCCACGCCTCCTTCAATTCCTCATAATCTCTGGATTTAGCCATTATATTGGTCAGGTCTGCCATATAAATCATTCATTTTACTTTAATATTTTTGTCATATAAACTAACAAATCAATTTTATCTAGGCATAACTGACCTGGTTCTAATTCTAGATTACATTTGCCTTTAACACACGCCGTAGCGCTTCCATAGTTTTTCTCCATCTCAGTCGAGACATTTGTGAACTATAATCAGATTTTCCAGAATATTGTATTATATCAACAAACTTATAGTGTCTGTGAAATGAGTTACTCGTTTGGATTCTGATTCTTCTAAAGCGGCGATACCTAAAACCGATAGCTTTTCAAACTGTCTTCTGACGCTATAATCGGCAAAGTTTTTGAAATCAAATTGAGTGGCATTTCTCCAGAGCTCCTTCTGGAATATGTTTGACTTTGCCGTCTCTTCGACCTATAAATGATTGCAAATACATATATGAATTCAAAATATTTTTTTTATTCAAGTTTGCTTAATAAACCACAGCATAAATATTAATATTAAATTTATCACTTCCAACATTAAATATATTCCCATTTTCCCCCCAATACTTACCGTAATATTAAATACTTTTATGAGATATTCGATAACGAAATGAATAGCAGTTATACTCACGACTCGTTTCTCGTTTTCATCGTTGATGTCTGTACTGAATGCCCATTGAGTTAAAGCCATCCTTTTGTTGTGTTCCCCGAGCTGTCTGTCGACGTCTTTTAGAAATTCTTTGGCTAACGTCTCATCATTTAGTTTAGCCGTCAGTATCACATTTGGCAGCAATAATAATAATATTGAGACCAATACTGTTGCCATTATGTTGGGATGTCTTATATTATTATGATTAAAACAAATCTAAATTCAAATATATAAGAGTACATTTGTTTAATTATATTTTGTTTCAAATATTTTAAAGTAACTTTACATATACTTTTATATTTGTTTAAATTATAAATAATAGCCTGAATAAATAGTGTTTATAATCTATAACAGATAACTTACAATATTTAAACTCGTAAGTATAATGATATAATGTATAAAATTGAGAAAACTGTTTTCTACTTTTACTTTGACTTTCACTTGACTGAAGTTTAAGACAAAAAACAAAAGTTAGGGAAAACACCGGTTATATAATGGAAGTTTTAATCAAGATTGAAAACCATGTCTTTCAAGTTCAGCTTTTGAAAAGTGACTTTTAAAACAAGAATCCAAATAAGACTTAGAGATAACCTAAGTACATACTTATACTCTAGTGGTAAACCAAGTTTGCTTTAACTGTATTTTCTATTGAATATTTTTTTAATAGTTCGGGTCATTCACACTTACTGTCGTTTTTGGTCTTTAGTCTTAAATAACAATTTAAATCACTTTAGATTGAAATGACAGATATCTATGAATACCACAGACATTAAATTAATACGTTTTGTTATATTTAAAACAAAATTAATAAATTATTTAGTAATTACCTATTTTAACAATACGGTTTTTATAAAATATAAAATAAAAGCTAATTTTTATTTATTTATATCTTTTATAATTAATAGTAATATTGAATTAAAATAGTATCACTATTATTCTTTCAACAGATGTGACACAAAACAATATAAAAACAAATGATTAACAAGTTTTCTATCTGAAAAACTATTTAAAATAATAGAGTTAATTTATTAGATAAAATTTAAAACAATAACTAAATAATACTAATTTTCCGGTAAATTTATAGACATATTATTCTATAACAACATACTAAATTAATATCTTATATAATATTGTAATAATAAAATAAATTATTAAATGGGTATAGCAACAAAATTGTTATCTTACCTTAAAGTTGACAACAATAAACAACCCTTTTTATATTTGACTTAATTGTAACGAATGCCTAAAGTAATTATTTAAGTTCAAAAGACAGTAGATTGATTAACAGGATATAGATCCGAGTTAAATGGACTTTGGCTATAATTATTTGCATTTGAATATTAAAAGAGGTCGACTTTATATCTATGCATTTACAAAACGAGACAACAATTTCTTGTAGTTATTTTTTATTAAAAATTGTTTAAAAAGAAATCATTTTTATTTATATTTGACATTTTGATAAAATAACTCTATTTACATATACAAACAGTTGTTTAATTAAATAACTTTAATTCTAGCTTTAATTCTACACATACTTTACATAACTATATACTGTATTAACAGGCATTTCATTCAATAACATATTGAATGAATTTAGCTCTTAATAGATATAATACAATGAAATCTTTATTAAATATGAAAATAAATTAAAATTATGAAATGTATAAAGAAATACGTAAGGACATATTCTGGATTCAAAGTTTATTTAATATAATGTTTATGTTAAGATATAATTTAGATAATAATTCACCCAAAAATTGTCTAAATAACTGTAAGCGAATTAAATTGACTGAAGATTTTGTTTATTATTTTAAAGTGTATTGTTTTAAGAATAGATTGTGAGCTAAATCCTAAAATAAACACTTTGTATGTCATGTCTTAAGTGTGAAAAGCATTTCTATTAGTCCTCATAACTTCATAATAATTATAATATTTATAACTAATATTGAAATGAAAAGTCTATTTATTCTCTTTGAACTTCAATTTGATAATCACTTCACTTATGCTTAAAGTGTTGGTTTGAATATACTTGTAGTAAACTTGAAAACAAGTAATTGAATTATACTTTTCAAACAAAATGAATATTTCAATATTTAATTCAACCACAAATAGTTCATTGGATTTATTGAATACTAATAATACCATTGATGGCGAAGATCAGAGTGAAGTTGCGGCCCGTATTCATAGGTTTCAAATGATTAAAGTGATTGTTTTGGCCACAGTTATGACACTTATTTTGATCACATCGTGTAAATCAATGCTTAATGTGTTGGGAAGATATGTTACGAGACGGTACTGAACATTATTGTTTCATATGATGTAATCTAGAACAATTTATAGAGATTTGATAATTTAATCATACTTATTGATGTAAATTATACAATGTAGCAAACACCCATTAAAGTATATTAATTTAATACTTTTATTTAACATACTTATATTTATTAATTATTATATTTATATTCATGTTATTTTACAGTTTAATATTATAATTAGGTTTCATTTAATTATATAAATTCTCAATATTGTTTTAATTGAATGGTTATATGGTGTTTGACTAAATGTTGACTATTAATGATTTATACAATTAAAGGCACTCTTTGGTGATAAGCTTTATAATTCTGATTAGAAAAATCAAATTATTATTGTTATCTGCTTATAAATATTATATTATATTTAAAATATAATTTATGTTGATCTAAGACTAGACTTATATTTAATAAAAATATTTGTTATAAAAAAGTTAAAAAACATCTGGTTTAAATATAATACAAAAACTATATCTGTAAATACAGTAGATAAGTTATATAATTGTATTAAAATATGTATTTACAATAGAAATGAAAATTAATGACTACTTATTTGCTTATAAGTGACTCCTAAGCAAAAAAGTCAAGTGAAGATAAATTGTTAGACTTTTCTCTATTGGTTTGATTGTCTGTTTGTGAACTACACGACGACTCGACATCAATGGTTGGCTCCTCTCTGGTCTCCATTTCAGCCGACTTTCTATGAATGGATTCATCAAAATTGTTTGAATTGAGAAATCGCAAAGAATTCATATTAACAACATTTGGCGCTGAATTCTCTAATGATTGGCTATAAAGTTGATTAAAATTAAAATTGATTTCAAATGAATAAAAACTTTTAGAATGATTTTTATTAAGATTTTTATTTACTTCGAGTTATAGAAACCGCAGGAATTGAGTGGAGATGTTGTGGACGGAAATGCATTGAAATCGTAATTAGGAAATGACGTCCAGTTGTTGTCAAAAGAGTTTTGCATTGGTGTGATTGAGTTGGTGTTGTTATGAGATATAGGGTTGAGATTGGGTGCCAAGGATTTGGTCAAAGAGGCCAAATTGGATGCGGCGCCTGGAGTCGGGTGAAGGAATGACTTACGCGGCGGCTCTCTCTTCCGCCATTTGGCTCTCCTATTCTGTTGGCAATAATTCTCGTCATTTCTAGTCATTTAGTATTCAAATCTAGTCTCTAGTCTAGTCTTAGTTTTGTGATCATTACCTGAAACCAGACCTGAACTCTGGATTCACTTAAGTTGAGTCTTAGGGCGAGTTCTTCGCGAGCGAATACGTCCGGATAGGGAGCCCTTTGGAAGGCTCTCTCCAACTCTTCCAATTGATAGGACGTAAAGGTTGTCCTAATTTTATAGAGAATACCGAGTGATCCAAGTGTTCATATGATAACAATTGCTATTTTAATAGCCATGTCATATGAACGCAATGCTTGGATCACTCGGTATTCATAACTCAAAATAATTTCAAAACATATAATAATTAAATAAACCAAATTATATTAATTTATATAATGATTAAATCATAAAATTAATTTGTTAAATACAATATAAATGAAATTTAAAATAAAATTAAAATAAACAAAATTAATTTTTAAAATGCAAAATAATTTTTTTTAAATGCAAAATAATTTTGTAATGCAAATAATTTAAAATTAATAATACAATCAAATAAATAAAATACAAAATTAAAATAATTTGTTTGAAAATAATAATTTGCTTGATAATACACAAATAATTTAAAAAAATTTAAGAATAAATGAACAAATTAATTAAACCAAACAAATTATATCATAATTGAACATAATGTAAAATTATTAAATAAATAAATACAAAATAAAATCAACCCAAACCTGGTTTTCTTTTTCTTGTTAGCAGTGTTAGAATTGTTGGCATTTTTGTTGCTATTATTAGCGCCACAATTGGATCCGTTAACAGTGTTAGAAGAGGACATTTGTGGTGATTTACCGGTGCTGTCCATAACTGTAATGTTTGTACGCTTTTGTAATTTATTGTTTGGATCTGTTATGAGATTGAGTTGAATATCGACTAAATTAGTAGAATTTTAACTATTTTGCCTAGCACCTATAATTGCGAGAACTATTTAATGGTTTGGATTTAAAGTAATCAAAAAATGTATAAAAAATTGTAAAAATAAATAAATTCTTCCAGAATAAATAAATTCAGAAAATTATAACCTATATAATATAATAATTAATTAATAACTTTGTGTAACTAACCGTAAATGAAATCTCTTGAGTAGAAAGTGGAGACATTAGGCAAAGTTGGAGGACTGGGCTCTAAACGATGCAATAGAGAGGGTGAGCCAAAAGTGTTGGTTGTGTTAAAGAATGACTGGGTTGTAGTGGACTGAATGGGCGACTGTTGATAAAAGGAGGGAAGTGGTAGTGAGCCGGTAGTACTGGAACCAGTAGTGATGATACTGGACATGGGCTCCAACTGATGGTGCAGTGGTTCTGATATGATGTCCGAGTGTTCATTCTTGTAGGGAAGGGATGCTATTCAAACAAAATAAAATAATTTCAAAACTATAGCAATTATACAGTAGAGATGTGATCTAAATAATTTTTTAATAAATAATATGATTATAATAGAAAATAAATACTTTTGACAAACGTTTGCTTATCTAAACTCACAATAAAATGTATGACACGAACACAAACTTATAAAAACTGTTTTCATTAAATAATGATAATCAGAAGTTTAATCATAAGCTTAAAGATTATGAATATATGATTTAACATATTTGATAAACAAAATATATTAAGAAATAAATAGCAAAATGTGTTGTTTGAAGTAAAACTAAATATAAACTGAAAATGATAGAAATTCTGCAAATATATATGACTATTGGTTTCGATTATAGAATTTTATTATAGATATTAATAAATATTATTATTGTTAAGAATTATTAACTTTATTTCAATTATAATTTTCCTTATTTTCCTGATTAACACAATCAGCGATAAATAGAGGAAATCTAATGAAATCTAATTGATTGTATGTTAACTAAATCGAGTCTCATTTAATTTAATTTATTTTAATTTAATGTCACCCATAAAAATTTATTAAATAATTTTTCAATTAAAAATAATTAATTACAATAAATGAGCGAGAATTAAATTATTTTCAATCACTTACCCATTTTTGAGTTACTTTTTTGCAAACTTATTGTAAATTATTGGTCAAATGCGATATAAGTTTTTGATCCCTGATTATATACCCATCAAGTGAGCATAACAAGTGGATCTATAAAAGCCACCATGGTCCCAAACCACCAAACCATCGTCCCATTGGTCCACCAATTCAAGTGATCTCTACTATACTATACTTCATATTCATATACCGCTGTAGTGTTCACACCGACTAAAATGGGTGGGCACTGGCCTATACTATACCCTATTATACCTACCGTATTGTTCACCACTTAATTGTTAGTAATCTATAGTATAATATATTTAACCATTTAAATGATCCAGTCTTTAGTTTCAAAATCAATCAATTATTAGTGTTTGTAAATTAGAAAACGTTTATTTATTCATTTAAATATAAATAGTTAAATGCAATTTATTAGTTGAGCCAATGGGTCTAATTTAAGAATAATTTTATTTTTTATGTTTGTGTGATCAGGGACCAACAAAATGTAAGCTGTTTTGCAAAATGCAAAATTTCTCATAGAATTATACTGGATGGATTATGACTGTGAGAATAATCGAGAAAATAGTTTAGATCGAAATAATCAGATGAAAACCAATAAATAAATAATGATTAGGAATCAATTGAATGCCTTTTGTATTGTACTTGAAGTCAGGCACGTGTTTGCGATAAGATTGGAAAATAACATGAATTTTATGGCTGAGCGCCGATGTGTAGAGCGCGTAACGCGTGGCCCTCCACTGCCTCTATTTGATGCCCGTTTCATGTACTCCACCCTATTATTAGGCAGTCTATCACTATTACTGTTGCAAACACTGGCTTTTGTGCCCCAAACCATAATATAATACTGTATAAGCTTAGAGTTGCAATTGCTTTCAATGGGATTACCATTTATCTGATGGCTATTACTTTGTACTAATAATCGTAATAATTGTTTAACAAAATGATATTCAATGAGAATTATAGATATTATTAATATTGTTGTTATGTTTGATGATTATCTTTGGACTTTCTATGAATAAACGAATGGTTGTAAAGAATAATATTAGTATTCATAGCACTAATCCTTTCTAAATTAAACTCAATCGTAAGCATTGTTCTCTCTCTCTCTCTCTCTCTCTCTGGCAATAAGTTTATTCAGCGCAGAAATGCCACCAACATACCAGTGCTGTGTGTTGTGTGTGCTGTGTATTATGTTTTTGTCTAATTTGTAAGAAAAACAATTGAATAGTTAGATGTGTGGACCGTATTATAAGAATGGGATTAAAGGAGTGTAGAGAATACTTTATTATACATTTTAATGATATATATTCGTTTATTTTTTATATAGACATTATATAACTGTATATATAAATATAAGATTAAAAGTCTAGATCTCTCTCTCTCTCTCTCTCTCTCTCTCTCTCTCTCTCATCTGTGATCTGTGTTTCTGAACCAATCATATAATATGTAAAAAGACAGACAAATATTTTTTAGATAAATTCTTAAATGAAATAATGTATGAGTGAAGTACAGCTAACATAATGTATGCCTCAACAGTATAGAGCATAAGAGTGAATGTGAGAGCGAATGGAAATAATAAATGATTTATAACATCATTTCCTCATTACACCCAATTATCTCATCAATAGACAGACAACGGATGGGCGCCTATACTCTATTTCTGTGAGATATGTTAACATGAAGAGTGATTACTTGACACTTCAATTGAATACACAATTGCTTCGACCGCTTCATCACACATATTAACATAACATAACATAACTTTTATTTGCGTTTGCATTTATTTTTTAGCCAGCATGAATATATATGTACTGTATGCCGCTTTTTACGAGAAAATTTACATAAAAATATTGATTCTAATAAACTGTATTATTCAAAAACAATTGTCTATAGTACTCGCACTGTAAAGCTAGTACAAAGCAATTACATTATTATAACTACTCATAATGACTATTATTACAAATTGAGTGAAAATCAAATTTAAAGTATAATAATAATGTAATGCATGAATATATAATAAATGATTAAATGTTTTCATTAAAAATGGTTTGAAAGTCAATACAGAGAAAAAATATGATGTGAAACGAAAGTGAAGTGCTGTCAAATGGATGGGACCACAAAAGCTTACAATAAGCCACACATACACGCGCTCTCACTCTTACCGGTGGTTCTCAGTCAGGCCCTCACGAGCCCTCTTCTCACCCCTAACTCTAACTGTCTGTCCGATTCATGCATAACATAATATACTGCGAGTATAAGTAACATAAAGATATTGATGATAACATATTTCCCAGGAATACCCACTGAGAGTACTTATATCGCAATAACAATTTGCACAACACTTCTCATACACGGGCCTATACTGCTATACAATAGAAATACATTTTAAATAAACTAAACCACTTTTGAACACATTATGGACGCAGCTATGCATTTATTGAAAACTTATTTTTCATCGATATTTCTCAAATCTTAATTGTTTTAAACTTTTAAATGTCAATACATTAGAATATAATTTTAAAAATATTATATTTAAAACATACAGTATATAAATGATATATCAGTAAAGGAAAGTTAATAAATTTGAAATTTTGTCGGAAAGAGGATTGATTATTCATATAGATAACAAGTTTAGAAAAGTTGTACTTAAGTAGCATATATAAACTTTCTAAACTTGTTATCTATACTCATAATCAATCTTCTTTCCGGCAATATTTAAGTTTCGGGGAATATTTCTTCCCACTCCTATTGACTTTCCTTTACTCATATAATTATATTGTGTGGACAGCAATTTCTGCTGGAAACTCCATCACAGATCGGGGTGTATTGTAATAGTAGAAACGGGTTGTGAGGACTGGTAGGGGAACGCGAACTTCGACAGGAATTTGGCGTTTGTTGCGACCGGCACCGCCTATAAACCGAGACATTTGTGATCTAGTTGTACTCTCCTGGTCGTCGTCCCAGCTATCATCGAAATCGTCATCATCTTCTGGTGAATCATCGGGAAAGTAGTCTTCATCCGAGTCATCCCCGTAATCTCTGTCATCATTCATAATGTCCTGGTCTTTATTTCTATCATAATCTGGACGTTTAGTCTCTTTTATTAACTCAATTGTTAACACCATTTCAATCAAACATAAATACATGAACAAGGCCTTTATTTGATACATTTTAAAGAAAATATTTAATAAACTCAACATTTAATTATAAAACTCAAACTCAAGTCATTTATATAGATTTTGGTTAATAAATATGGGTAAATATTTAATATGCGGAATATTTCTGTTCAAACATTTTAATAACTTTTTTGAGTTGCTAATAAAATCATAGAAATTATTTGTGTTTTGTTATATAAATAGATGAGTTTATCATTTATTTAATGAATTGGATTCAATATTTTATAGGAATATGTTGTTGAATACAGTTACATATAATTAGTTTATTTTTGAAGGTAAAATACAATCGTTAAGATCTTATCTGAAATCTGGAAAATTCCTATTATATGATGACAGAAATATTGTTTAATAAGTTGCTGTTTTGATTTTCCTGAATAAATAATTTTATTTCAATGTAACACACGTTTATAATTTACATGTAATATTTGGAAGAATGAATAAAAATATTAAAATACTAATTCATATATTTTGAATTTGGTTTCCCTATTTTGATCGTTCAAATATTTAATATTTTTATCAATTTAAATATGATATTAAGGCCAATCAGTAACTGTGAATTTTATTTCAATTATAACATTTACCATTTACATATCATCTACATATCTTTACCATTTTCCATTAATATACCCTGGTCATACAGTAGAAGCAAACGAAGAATATCATGAATAACATATAAAAATACAGTACTAGTAAAACTTTTAAATTAATAATTGGCGGTCTTTTGAATACATTGTATTAATTAATTTTTGAATTTTGATAATTAAAATACTATTAATAAAATATATGTCGAATATAATAGGAATCAACTTAAGAATTGAGTATTTGTTGCAAACTTATATAAATTCTTGGATTATTTCAAATCAAAGCACACGATGGCGTCCTTTACATCAAATTGAATACTGAATTCAATTTTAAATCATTCCTTAAGGAATTTAAATGTTCCCATAAATTCACATTGTTCACTTATAATCAAAAAATTAAGTTTACAAAAATTTCAAATAAAATTTATTTTTTTATAATAATTTAAAAACTATCTTTATATTTAAGTCTTTATAAATTAAACCCCAATTTATTTAATAATACATCTTTATAGATAATTATTTTTGGTAATAAGGAAATAAGGAATTATACATTAATTTTCAAAGGGGTTATAAATAGCAAATATAATTAAAACTTAATCTTTAGAAGTGTAACAAACAATAA